TAGCCTTAATTCATAAGGAAGGAATCCATCTACAATGTTTCTAAGATCAAAACCTTTTATTAAAGTTCAATATGTGTTCAGACAACAAATATTTTCCACTCAAGCTCATTTTGGAGTCTAGCCTTTTCAGGGTACTTCAGATGTCACCCAGAGGGCCTCTTCTGCCTTCTCAAGACTGAATCATTTTCTTCTGCGTGTCAAAGACGTATCTTTTAAAGAGAAGGCTGATGGCAACAGGCTGGGCTGACTCAGCTTTGGTGCTGTCATCCTCTTTGGCTGCATCCCCTTTCCCTGCTCTGGATTTCTTCTTAGAGGCAACAGTCAGAAGTGCCTTTGTGTCTGGCTTGAGCCCATCTAAAGGGAACAAGAACATGCATGACAAAAAAAAAACAACTTTTCAGTCAGGATTTCAACATTACAACTAAAAACAATGAAAGTGTGAGACCACCCCTGCATCCCCAAGCAAGCCAGATGGTGGCTTCTACTGCCTCCATTTAGAGTTCCCTGGCAACAACGAAACCTAAAATTGTTCAAACATGCCGTTCAGAATGGTAACACGAACAACCCAGTATCAACCTCCTCACCCTTGTTCTTGGTTACTGTGGGCCCCAATACATCAAAACACGCCAAAATGTCTGAGATAGGCCTGATCTGCAGACCTTCCTCTTTGCCCTGTGTAGATGCTTTCCAGCAGCTGCTTCTCTCCTTGAGAGGAGTTCAGGACAACAAGTTTGTACAGATAAACTACACACAATCATGTAAGCCACAAACCAAAAATTAACCAATGGTTATATTCTGAGGAGGGGGGCAGAGGAACACACATGCATAATGACCAGAGCATCTTGAACATTTTTGGTCCATCACTTAAGCCTGGCCAAAAGTGTGCTATTCAATATGCTCAGAGCTACAAAAGTGCTGCTTCTGGCCAAAATGGGTTACAATTGTCTTTTAACATTAAGGGGGTCCAAACTGAGAGACACGGGGAGAACCTGACTCTGGAAGTACAACACTGGGGAAGGACTGAAATGGTTTACCCAGAGCTGGCCCTAGGGGTGGATGACGTGAGCGACTGCTCAGAGTGCCATTTTGCCTAAGGTCAGGTCTGCGAACGTGGGCAGACCATTCGCCAGGGTGAGAAGGAGCCCATGCGTGGCCCCTGCAGTGTGGCCGGCCCATGGAGAGTGTCTTGGGAGAGGAGGCTGGGGCTGGATGGCCGGCAGTGCAGGCAGAGGCCAGAATAGGGAAGAACTGCCGAGACCAGCGGGCTCAGAGAGGTGAGCGCTTCCACGGGGAGCTGCAGCTGTCAGCCTGGACAAGCTGGTCTCCTTGGCACCGCCTGGCCCTGCCAGGCCCACGTGGTGGGGGGCAGTGTGGCTGGGCCTGACTGACCACTACCCAGCACATGACCAGGGTGTTGCCCTGCCCCTCCCATGCCCAAAACAAGGCTGCCCCAGGCAGTCCCCACCTCTGCAGGGCCCAGAGGGAGGCAATTCCCTGCCCAGAGCGGGGTCCCACCCTGAGAAGGGCAGCGCTGCTGCCCAGGGCTGAGACTGGGCTGTCTGCCGTGCCCGCTAAGGGGTGCCCATGCTGCTAGTTGCTGCAGCGGTGGCCGGGAGGGGGGTGTCCGCAGGGATACTTAGAGCACAGCCCAGGGCCAGCTGGGGACTGGGGGCTGCGGTGGAGCTGCGTGAAGCTCACTCTGTCCCGTCCCTTGCCGTGGAGGTGCCCAGTGCCACTGCTGCCAGGCTTAGCCCCAGGGTAACAGAAAGTGGGGAAGGGAGTGACCAGCCTTTACACAGGAATCAGCAAGAATGAAAGCACCACTGACTTAGGGGGTGACGGTGGAGCAAAATATAGGTTCGCTCAAGGTGCCATTTCCCCTAAGGCTGGCTCTGGAAATATGAATACCCAGCCTTTTCTTCCTAAGCTAGCTCAGAGATTTATTTACAATTTTTATTATATTTTACTATGTCACATCGGTGACATTTCAGATGTGACGTGAGTTAGCCAAATCCAAATAAACACTGTAAAACAAGGGAGATCCTCCTGCTTCCTGACAACTCTTGAAGCCTTTGGGGGTTTTTTTTTGGTTTTTTTTTGTTTTTTTTTACAGCGAATGAGAGAGGATCCCTTACAAGCATATTCGGTGCCACCTAGCTGAATACTCCGAAATGTGGTTCTCAGGCATTTGGCCAATTTCAGTTCAGGTATTTTTAACCTGTGGTGTCACATAACCTTATCTCAAACACTTAATCAGCTTCTCTCCCCTCATACTGAAACTCAGATGCGGATTCTCATATCATGGCCTGACAAAAAGATTGAGATGCTTATGATTTACTGGAGACAGGAGGTCTACAAGCACCGGTGATTTGCTCCATTACAGACACATCTAGAGGGCATTGTGGGGACTCAGCACCGAGAGCCACCTTCTCTTCTTGCTCTGTCAGATAGCAAATTGTTCCAAGTGGCATCCACAGCATGCAGCGAAGGGGGAGGGAAGAAGAAGAGGAAGTAAATGGGGAGCAAAACCAGGAAGCTGTCAACTCCCTACCATGAAGGGGGGTCCTAAAATGCTCCGTATTTTGAAAACAGAGAAGAAAGTCAAGTGGGCACTGCTCTTTCCAAACAAAGACTGTGTGTGCATGTGTGTGTGCAGGGAGGTAGGGGGTATTTCATACATGTAAAATAAACAAACACCTGCTCTCAATTATGGCAGTCAGATGTCAGACCACATTACCTTGCATATATGCTACAAGGCCTCCTGAAATGAATATGTTTAATAAGTAAAACATTTTGGGTGTATTCCTCCCCCCCACCACAACAAAATACCTTCTATCACTGGATGCTGGACTACATAAAACACAATAATTATTTCACAAGAAAATGAAAGGGCTGGTTTCTTCTTGGTGGCTCAGAAGTTTGATGATGATTATCCTTGCATGCGTGAGGTGCAATTAAATTAATCAAGCTAGATAACAAGGCCTGACCATGCAGTGTTGTTTTATGCCTTTACTGCATGGAGGTGATTTTTGTTTGTTTGGTTTTTTTTAATTGTGCTGTGCTTATCAACTCATTTAAAAATTCTCTGCTTATATTTCAACCACCCTCTCACAATATTAAAATGACAGAATTTAATTGTTTCATAGAAAGTGCCTTATTTTTGTTCGGAAAACACTAAGCACATTGTAAATGCTACTGGACACCAGGAGTGTAAGGATGGATGGGCAAGTGGGACAGGAGCCCCAGGTGTTACAGCCCCTATCTAAAGGGGGCTGCCAGAAAAGACCTAGGGGGGCACCTCACTCTCTTGTCCCTGCTTTTCTCCTGCGCTTTTCCTGCTCCAACACCAGCTCCAGCAGTGGGGAAGGTAGAGAACTGGTGGCAGCATGCAGGAAGGAACAGCTGCTGGGGGAAACATTGCCTCCTTTTTTGCCACTGATGCTGCTCTGCCTTCCCTACTGCCTCTGCACAGTCACGGCACTGGCCAGTTACATTGCTCCTGGAAACAATAGCAAATAATTAGGGATGGAAAAACTACCCATTAGCTCATCCAGTCCAGTTCCCTGCCATTGCAGGATTTATACCCTATTGTCCCCTTTCTACTGTTGTGATCAGTCTAGTTAGAGCTCTCCCTCTGCAACAGGGCTTCCTCCACTTCCCGAGGAAGAGCATTTACTTTTTGGACTTCCCTCAGTTTAGACAAGGACATTGTGGTGTTTCACTTTGGTTTCTAGTCAGTTTTCCCTTCTTGTCCTTATTACTGGTGCTGTATTGATGCCGCCGACACACTGCTATTGTTAAAACGATATGAGCTTCCAATTCTCACAGAAAGACTCATTTTCATTTAAAAACAACCACAACCCATTTTTATTGCTAAGTTTTGTAATGGGGGTTGGGGGAGGGGATAACACTTCATAGAGTGACTACCATTTTCACCAGTTACACTCCTAAATCTATGCCCACTAACTCTTCTGCTTGGTTTGTACCAAGTCTAGTACTATATCTCCAATTGGCCATGACAATAAAAATATTAAACAATGGCAACAGAGAAGGGGTTGATTTCCAAGGTGCAGTGCAGCAACAGTTCCAAGTTGCGCACTTCCACAACTACCACTGAAGTCACGGGGGACCGTGTGGCCTCAGTCCCTGTCAAAGTCAGGCCACATATGTAGGTGACCACGTGTAGGCGCCACAATTAAGAAAAAATTAATTTCAAGTGAACATGATGAAAAAAAGAAAAAAAACTCATATAAGTTGTAAAATAACTGCATAAGGTGGGAAAAAGGTTTTTTTTAAAAAAAGAAACAGGAAAATGAAAAAAGGAATTCTCTTTCCAATCCATCCAGAAAAATCCAAAATGAGGGAAGCAAAAGCATACCTCACCTGCAGCCTTCCCCACCTATTTGGATTCAAATAAGGTATTATGTGCGAGAGGAGTTAGCAGGAGAAATGGAAGAATGTGGTAGTTCCTACAAGTGAAATCGTGGGCTGCCAGCCAAATGCAGCTCAGGTATTATTAAATTCGCAAGGTATCTAAATTACTTAATCAGATCCCACGGCCCTCATTCTGCAAACAGATTAGGTGGCTGGCATCGTACCCTGACAAATGGCATTTGCTGTTTTTTTTCACTCTGGTGCCAGGAGGTCTATGGGCTGAAGAGGCTCTGTGATATGGAGCTGCACAAAGGAGCAAGCAGAGGGAGACAGGCGGAGAGGCGCAATCTAGGTTTCATCTACCTCCGTGGATTTCTCGCGTTACACACAATGCATACTTTACATTTTACAAAACCAAGGAAATGAAGGGAAATATATCTGTCACCGAAGAAGACATCAGCCCTTTAATAGCTGAAATGACGGATATTTTTAGATGGAGGTCTAGTTTAACTTACTTACATTAAGGGTCTAATCTCTCTTGAACAATGACTATGTTAGCTTGAATACATAGTGAGAAATCTGTTCCATTAATTAAGTGCTGCCTGTACTACTCGGATTTGTAGCAAACGTTAATAGATTTTTTTTTTCCTTCCTCTGTTGGACAATTACTTTATTTTGCCAAGTTGCTAATGGATTAAAATTCAAAAAGGTCTCTGTGTTAAAAAAGACTTTAGCTTCAAAGTTCTAACAAGCGCCTTGCCCACATCACTGGGAAATACCTACATATTAATATTATTAATGGGCAATCCTCAAAGGAATAAGAGATATCTGAAAGCTTAGCAAATTCATTCCCACCCATCACCTGCTATTTGCTACCATGTGTATAACATGCACATCCCAGCCAGACTGTATTTGAAATGTACTTATACTGAGAACAACCTTGGCTACAGACAGAAATGTAAGAATAGAACAGCTCTTAA